CACACACACACACACACACACACACACACACACACACGATGCAGAACTCCTGAACCTGCTCCTGCCTCTGTAAACTCGTCACAGCATGGGTTTACCCCGCTGGGATCTCCACTCCGTCTCTTCATTCGCTGTTTGGCCACAAACCTGTCACGGGGCAGAGCGCCACATTGGCAGACAGAGTCCTCCGTGCACAATGTGCCATCTCCATCCATGAGTTTTATAAGTGTGTCTGGAAGAGTCACATGGGGGGACGTACGTTCTGACTGCCCCAAATTGCTCCTCAAAGCTATCCATGTTGCTTGCACGTACAGAGTAGTTGAAACGAATTGAAAACACTGCTGTTCGAGCGCTTGTCCACATAAACAAACAAACCTACACAATTCTGCCCATTCACACAATACTTTCACGTGCTGAGGGGGGCACAAAAAGTTCAGCCCGGGCCTTGTGTTAAGAAGAGCTGGGGGGACACAAGGTTGAGAGCAAAATAATATGATTTGTGTCACACAGCTACATCATCGAGAGCAGATTTTGCAGGTTGGGATGGCGGAGGCCTTTAATGCGGCAGGAAACCTAATGCTGCGTGTTATCTTGAACACACCATCCCCAGTGTGAAACATGGTGGTGGCAGCGTCATGACTCAGTGATGCTTTTGTTCAGCAGGGACAGTTAAGCTGATCTGATGGGGATAAAGGTGGAGCTAAATGAAGAGCAATCCTGGAAGAAAAACCCATCTGAGGCCACAAAAAAAACGTGAAACAAGTGCAGAGGCTGGACGCTGACCCAAAGCGTCCAGCCAGAGCTACAAAGAGAACAGTTTAGATCAGTGGTTCCCAAAGTTGGGGTTGGGTCCCAAAGTGGGGCCCTGAAACATCAAGGTGGGGTCCTGAAAAGATTTTCTAAATTAATTACATTTTTGCCTTAGTTGACTGAAATGTATAAATGTAGAATAATAAATAGTGTTGCTATGCCCATGTTTAGTTGACCTGATACAAATGTTTATCATCCAAAACTAGTTGTGGGCACAGGTCTCTGCTACTGTTATTTTGTGGGTCAAAATCTGAAAAGTTTTGGGAACCACTGCACTTCAGAAATTAATTTAAAAGGTAATAAAATTATTGGTGATGTAATAGTTTCCCTATAATTATTACAAAAACACAAAATAAGTATAAAYAAGTATTTATATTTGTGTAGCCTTTGTTTTTAGGGTTATTAACAAAGTTTGTGTACTCAGACCAGTAATATTTGGGGTCATAAGTTTTTGCCATGAATTTTTTTGTGGGTCAGAAGATAAAAAGTTTGAGAACCACTGGTTTAGATCACATTCATGTATCAGAATGTTGAAAAATCTAGTTGAAGTCCAGATCTAAAGTTAATGATGAAGCTGTAGAAAAACTTTAAAGCTACTGTTCACAGATGCTCTCCAGCCAGTCTGACTGAGCTTGAGATGTTCTAAAGTTTAATACTTTTTAAAAGTACTGTGTTTCCCCATAATTTGACGCAGCAATAAACAGCTTAGATTTAGATCAAGTCAGCTGCTCGTAATATAAGAATTTTTTTGGTAACTAAAACATTCAAGTTTGTTGAAATCAGCACAAATTAATTTTGTTCTCTAGAGATATTTACTGGGCCATAATTGTACAGTATATGTCAGCAGGAGCAGGAGAGATGAATTGGAACTAAACTTTGATTGGTGGAGACCATTCAACCAGGAGGTGATGATCCAAGTTTTACTCCTGATTTAACAGTTGGCACTCAGAGGGCACTAAGCTGGCGTTAGCAGCCGTCTGCTGCTCGTAGAGTACATTAGATGTGATTAATTGCTGCAAAGCCAACATCTATTGAAATTACTCATTTGTTACAGCTTCTTCTTTAGATTCGCTGTTAGTGAAAGGAAGCCTGACGCGCCCTCAGTGAATGTCAACATGTTCATTTTAGAACAAGTGAAAGAAGGCAAACAATGGCAGAATGATGAAACGTTTGTTTCTGTGTCTTGGTGCTTCCTGTTTAGTGGGCTGACAACCTTCTGAAGCAGACGGAAGAGCTGGACCTGCAAATTCAAAGCAAAGAGAACTTCTACAGTGACATCAGCGCAGAGACTGAGTCTGTTACACAAAAAGCCAGGAAGAATTTGCAGAACATGGATGACATAAAATATGTAAGTAAACTGAATCATGTTTTATACTTTTTCTTTTAAAAGGTTTATGTTAAGATTGCTGACCATGTACGGAGGAACAAAACTGACATAATTAGAAATAAAAGCAGAAATATATAATTGGATAAATAAATAAATAAATAAATACACTTAAAATGCACCAATTAAAATAAAAAATGAGAACTTGACCTCATGTTTTATAATTTAATTGACCTTCAAATTTATTTTTCCCGCTTAGTTCCATTAAATTTTATATTTTAGAACATGATTTAAATTATACCCTTTTTACAAATATGTATTTTTTTTCTTTAAGCTTGTCTAAATTTCTTAAACAGAGAACTGACAAACGTTTTCCATTGAAATGCAAACTGTAACACATTCAACAGAGTATCAGTACCAGTATTGGTATCAGTGTATGTGTGCTTGTCAAACACCAGTCATTTTAAATGTGTTTAAAACTTAAGTAGTGAGGTTGTGTTGGTTTGTTAACACAATGGAAGACTAATGCAGTCCTGGAGAGAATATAATGGCATCCTCTTGACCGGGGCTCTCAAATACTTGCTTTGATAATTGAGCATTTGAAGCAGGACTGGCTACAACTTCATCAGTGTTTATGCTCGCAAGGTGTGATCTTTTAGCATATAGCTGCATCTGGACAAGCAAGTTAAGATGAAGCCCGAAGCATGGTACGACTGTGTGTACATGTGGTAGGAATGTCATGGTAAAGTGATCCTGATGTGTACACCGTGAGTGCACAAGACAGCATCTCAAGGACGTGAATAAGAGTGGTGCACTGTCATAGCTGCCTTCATACTAACAGAGGTTTGCCAAATTTGCTGCAATCCAGCCAAGTACTGATAAATTGTGAAGAGTGTCGTTGTCCGGTATTTTTTACCTGAGACTTTGAAAACAACAACCCAACCAGACATTTTAAACAAAGACAATCAGAGACCGGTAAAGTTTAAATGATACAGTTTGCGCAAAGGGGAGAAGTTCAATGTCCAACTTAACAGCAGTTGGGTACAAAGAAGTTCTAACGTTTTGCGGACGTGATCCACTTTTTATTGACACACATAGAAAAAACATCACATCAAGTCATCCAATCATAGTAAAAATACTATGTCACATCAGAGCAGAAAGACCAATCAGAAACTGGTTGCTGGGGCCCATTGCAGCTGGACAACTAGAAAAAATTTATCATGTTAGTCATAACAGTTTGTGAACTTGACTAAAACCTTGGATGTTAGAATATTTTGCAGTTAGATCATTTGTCTACACTTTGTTAAACCTGTACACGCCATTAAACCTAAGAAGTTAGTCACGTACTGGAATCTTTATTTGGAACATATTAAAAACCTTTTCAGTCGTGAAGCCCTAATCCATTGCAAAGGGGGTCTTTGACAATGTTAATTAACACTGCTGCTGCTCAAACACTGCACTGTTTCTGTACTGTGGTCTTTCTTCAACTCTGTACTGTCCTCTATGTCAGAGGTTCTCAAGCCATTTGGGTCTGGGGACCCCTTACAAGGGCGAAAAAATTCCAGGGACCCCCTCATAAACTCCAAGCTGTTTTAAAAGATAATTTCTGTCATTTCAACCCCTAAATGCCATGGGAATATGTGTTTTTATTAGGTTTATTATGTTTGTTTTATTAGTTCATTGTTCTCCGTGCATTTAAAAAAACAAATTAACATTTTAGTGAAATTTTTTGAGGACCCCCAAGATACCTCTCGCAGACCTCTGGGGGTCCTGGGACCCCAGTTTGAGAACCTCTGCTCTATTTTAAAAGCTTTCCACACGCATCAACAATGTTTATAAAAACATAAATTTTTATCGATGCATGGCCTAATTGCTTTTTTTACTCCATTGATGTTTTTTTTCCAATCGTTCATTTTCTGTAGCTGCAGGCTCACGCTCAAGAGGCAAAAGTTGTGGCTCTGTCTTCTGTGGTGACGGGAAAGGAGGTAGAGTCAGACGCCAACGCCCTGCACAGAAAAGCAGAAGGTGAGACTTTACCCATCTCTGTGGTTTTTGCATAACAATGAATAAACATTAAACTCAAAACAAAATGTCATGTCTGAAAAAAATAATTCATGTATAAAGTGTAATATGGTAGAATTTTCTTAAAACTACTTAGACTTTCATCAAAATGCTGAAGAAAAAGAGAATGAACAGAGAGTAACTTCATCAGCCAGTAGACAATAATCCACAATAATCCATTTAAATCAGGTTGTTGGATCTTTAACCTTCTCTCACTTTTAATTCAGACATGGTGACAGAGTGGCCCCTCCAGCAGGCTCAGACCAAGGCTGCAATGAAGAAGGTTAAGCCCTTGGAGGACAAGGTCCTGGCTGAGGTCAGGAAAAAGATCAAACAGACAGAGAAGATGATGGAACCAGCTGTGGAAAAGTCCAGGCTCGCTCACAATACCACTGTGGAGGCTGAGCGAATGGCACAAGCTGTGGCACAGGTATGTGCTTGATTACATTTATCATCCCTAATTAAACCACCATTTTAAATTTAAAAGTCACTTCTGCATGGATTATTCTGTTTTTTAGTTTGTCTCCCATGGGGAGAAAATTTTAAACATTTTCAAAAATAAAGAATATATTTGCGTACAAAACTGAACAGCAGTGTTTGTATTCTACGGAGCCCGCGAGGGGACATGAGGGGATTTTTTTTTCTTTTGCGTTCCCACGTAATACCTTTGTGTTACCTCGCAATACCTTTGCGTTCCCTCGCAAAATGTTTGCGTTACCTCGCAGTACCTTTGCATTACCTCGCAGTACCTTTGCGTTACCTCGCAGTACCTTTGTGTTACCTCGCAGTACCTTTGCGTTACCTCGCAATATGTTTGCGTTACCTCGCAGTACCTTTGCGTTACCTCGCAGTACCTTTGCGTTACCTCGCAGTACCTTTGCGTTACCTCGCAGTACCTTTGCGTTACCTCGCAATATGTTTACGTTGCCTCGCAGTACCTTTGTGTTACCTCGCAATACCTTTGTGTTACCTCGCAATATGTTTGCGTTACCTCGCAGTACCTTTGCGTTACCTCGCAATACCTTTGTGTTACCTCGCAATATGTTTGCGTTACCTCGCAGTACCTTTGCGTTACCTCGCAGTACCTTTGCATTACCTCGCAGTACCTTTGCGTTCCCTCACAATACTTTTGCGTTCCCTCGCAATACTTATGCGTTCCCACGCAAAAAATTGTTTTGTACATGAACTGAATTAAATCAGACTTTTATTTTTGAAATAACCAATTACCAAAACAGGATGTGTCGTCACAAGTTCGTGAAATTGACACTGATGTTGTGTGGCTGTACTGTGTTAAAATATCGGGATATGACATACTTCCATGCTTGGCTGTGTGATATATTCATTCTGAAGCTGAATTAAAGCAGTAGGCTAACTCACTAATGGTGAGCAGGTGAATTTGTTAATAAACCGGCAGGCACAACAGTGTTAAATGACTTTTGCGAGAGAACGCAAAAGGTGTTGTGAGGTAATGCAATACTTTTGCATGGGAACGCAAAAAGAAAAACAATGCCCCACGTCCCCTCGCGGGCTCCGTAGTATTCAGTTAGATGTCGTATTTGATGGAAACATGTGAATGAACTGCAGAAATTAAATACAGAAATATGGAACTGTTAACTTTCAGTCATAACATTTATTTCTGTAATGAGGAGATGGAGTGGTTGTTTTCTATTATTTTGCTATGATCCAAACATTTACTGTTTACAAAATGTACTATGTAGAAAATAGATGTCTAATGAACCTGCCTTGGCACAACTCTCTCACACTGCATCAGTATGCAGCTACATGCTATGGGTCATGCCAAGTAAACGCAACGCTATTTTTCATAGGTATGAAGGTTTTTTCCATGATCTTCAGAATCTGCTGAATGTTTTCATGTATTTGAGAGGTCATGGGCCTCCACCATCAGTTTCCATTGTGGAAGACAGCCTGAAAAAATTAAAGTGAAGAAGTTGTCTGTGTAGAACCTCAACCACATTTACCTTACTTTCTTCCTCATGAAGCAGGCCTGACTCTTCTTCATGAGCAGTGTTTCTTGCTTTACATCAGAAAGGTGATCAAAAAGTGCCTTAGAATGGTATGGTATAGTGACACATGTAAAATGTGCATTGGTAGTTGAAGCCCCACAGTGAGATCATGACCCGATTCTATTGGTTTTAGTGAGAGAAGTTTGATCTGTTGACCATCTAACTCCACCCACTTTCAGTTTGGTCACATGTTAAAATTAGGGTTAGTGATTGGACCAAAATACAGTGTGGGTCAAAAGTCACAGGACACTCTTTTATTCCAGAAAGAAAAATGAAATGGACATATCTGAATACCCCAGCAAAAAATGAGTGAGGTGTCCTCACCCGTGGTCGGGTGCCTTTATGGAAAACCTTGCCTCTGATCCAATATGGCAGTTTTCAAAATGGCATCCATGTTCTGGACATACCCTAAAAGATAGTCCACATCACCCATTACTTGTTTGGGTGTTCCAAAGTGTAATTTTCCTTTTTCTTTTTGAAATAAAAGGGTGTGTGGCGTGCTGTGTGTTCTGACTCACACTATAGTTTATGTGGATGTGGGTAGATTGGGGTCATCAGCTGTCATGAAAAGAGAAAACTCACCTTTCAATCAACTCTTGTTCTGTAAAACTGTCCATATGTTGAGCAGTCAGATGTTATTTGCTTCAAGCTTTTCAGAGATCTGTCTTTTTGTTTGTGTGTATGTGTATGTGTGTGCAGGAATTTAAGGCTATTCTAACCCAGGCCAAACATACCAGGACTGCATCTGGTCACCTTGGTTCCCATATAGACTCTACATTACAGGAGCTGTCTAAGCAGGAGCTGCTGGCCCAACAGACAAACCTCCAGATCCCATCAGAGGTACAAAAGATCTGCAGAGGGTTTTCATGTGACACTGTGAATTTGGAAGTTGGTCGAGCTGACAGCATTTCAAGATGTATAAGTTGTGTTGCAATTTTCCTTTAAAATATAGAGAAATGATAAATTATTGTCATGTAAATGATTGCCACAATAGGTCAAATCGCTAGGAAGACTTGCACTATTACAGGTTCCCACACATTATAATGAGTTTGGCAAATGATGTGCACTTTCTCTGATCCACCCCCAATACATCTGATTGTATGCTTTTAACCCTTTATAACACATCAGATCATCTGCTGGATAAGGAAAGCATCAAATAGTTCACAATGTCTGTGTAAGGCACTGATGGCAGAACCATTTCAACCTCAGACAGTTTACCACGCTCATACGGGTCTTAACCACCAATTATTAGCAGCTTACCTAAATACCACTCTTTTGCTGTATTGTCCACCTACAGTTAGCAGCCTCTGACTTTTTTAAAGAAGCTTTATTCCTGGGTAACATGGTGAAATTGGGAAAGATAACTTGAGCTTGTAACATGTTTATAGTGCGAGTATCTCAATAAAGATGACACTCACAATACTCTGCAGTTTCAATGCATCAATGCAATGGGTCCATACACCACAGTGACCTTTTTATTTTTGTTTGTAACCTATCTATAAAGCTAGATCTACCAAATTTATGAAAAAAATGAAAACCTCTGGAAGGAGATTACGGTATCTTGTTAAAATGCAATTATCTGCCAATAACTCTTGGATTCTGAGATTTAGGTGTATTTTACTTTAACACAACATTATAAGAAGGAAAAAATGTAAATCTGCCCCTCAGTTTTTAGTTATTTTTGTTTTGCTTAGTTTTTTCTATTTTGTTTTGTTTTGTTTTGTTTTTCAATTACCTTGGGTAACTTTCAACCCCCCAAATCTATAGAATCTACTGCCAGCATCTGCAGACCCTGTCACCACTAGGTCCCCCCAGAGATGCTTGTCACCACAATAGCTTAGGCCGTTCTAACAAGGGGTTCTAAATCAATGTTAGGCAGTCTGTCATTTTGAAGTATTCATGTGAACTCAAAACATGAAATTTTTCAAACATTTAGCAGTCTAGTTACCAAACACCCACAATCACTTTATGCTTCAGACACACAGTAGAAACAATGTTACCAGTTTTTATATCCTGACCCTGTTATTGTCACATTTTTGATTAGTTGCTAAAATGGTTAATAATTGTGTAAGATGTTACAAAAAAACATGTTTTGGAAAAATATTTTGCCAAGCTAAGGACGATATTTTTTCTATTTTATTGTCATTTTTGGGGACATTCTCAGCACCAAGTGTCACAGTTTGAGTATTTCAGCATTTCAGTTGAAATCATGTAAACAAAGTTTTCATATTTAAATTCAAGATAATACTCATTTGACCAGAGCCTTAGCCTTGTGGCAGACAGCTGAATAAAACCTAATAGTTTTATAGTATTTGGTCTCAACAAACCTCCTAAATGCAAGTTTCTTCTTAATAAAGTTTTTTTCCCTCCATTCAGCCTGAGTTGTCCCTGACCAGCATAAAGGAGGACATGGAAGCAGCTAAACTGCAGCTGGAGGCCTACTCTGCCACCCTAAGTGAATTAATCAGCAAGATTGGTACGTCCCTTTCTGGATGATTGTCACTGGAGCTGCTTTTGGGTCGTCGAAGTCTATACAGAAGTCTATAAATCTTCATTTTACCTGTAATGTCAGATCATTAAAGACTCCTGGTATATTTATTGCCTTATTTAACATTGAAACGTTGAAACATTGCCCAGATTCTAATCCAGACTGTAAAGCACCACTTACTGCTGTTCACAAGACCAAAGGTTGATGTATTTAAGTGCTTTAAAATAATAAAGCCGTTTTTATAAAGTTATGGACATCTTGGTAATTAAAATTGTAATACATTGAAAAAATTAACTAGAAAGGCCAGGATTTGGTGCTCTGTGGTCAGTGTGTTAATTTGCCTGAGAAGATAAGATAATAATGGTCATCATGCAGACTTGCACGCTGTTTAAATCTTTAAAACCATTAATGACCTACAGACTTAAACCCGTGTTTTGACGTCTCTCTCTATGATTTTTTCTTTTCCCATCTTTTTTGTCTCATATGTGTTTGGACCAGACGGGAGCGTGCCACTGGAGCGATTCGATCGGATCTTAAACGAGACGGCGCGCCGCCTGAGCATGCTGCGAGGTAGCGTGGAGAGCCCGACACTGGGCTCGAAGATCCAGAAGCTGCGTTCGGCTGCTAAAGAGCAGCAAAGTCGCCTGTCCCTCATCGATCAGGACATCCAGGAGATAAGGGAGGAGAGAGACAGTCTCAGGGACATCGCCTCGAACCTGCCTCAGTCGTGCCCACAGGCCACGGGAAAAGGTAAAGCCTGAAGACGCAGTGTTGATAAAACAGCGGAAGATCCAAAAAAAAAAAAAAAGYYKGGGRGGRKGTTTTAATAAAGAGAGCTATTGTCTTTTTTTTTTTTTTTTTTTTTTTTTTTTTTTTTGTGGTTCAGCTTCAAAAATTCTCTGATTGTCTCACATTTTTTTCACCCCGAGCTACAATTCGTTTTATAGTCACACACATTTCAGCCACTAGCCCACCGAGCTGTCCTCTGTCTCCGGTGATTTATACCTGATCCTCCTCCTCCATCTTCATGTTTTTCTTTCTGACTTTCACCACTTTATTGTCCCCACTCACTTTTGTTTTTGTTTTTTTTTTAAACCCACATCATCCAGATTTTAATTCCGTCATGAATAATAACCAGCCCTTCCAAACTGCTGGAGAGCACTGGTCAGGTTTAGAATAATGCTGATTTTACTTAGTGGAGGTAAAAAGGTGTGTCTGGGTGCTCCTTCAAACTGACATTCATTTACACTTCACTTCTTTTTCATCAGCGTGGCCTAATTAGCAATTAGTCAACTTGGACTCAGAGGGGTTCAAGAAAGGCTTCAACAACACACCGCCTGTTTTTTTTTTTTTTTTTTTCGAAGTGGGTGATTTTTAGGGTGACTACCTCTCTTTTTTCCCACTTTTCCATCTTGCCATGTCGCTATCAATTTGTCAGACCTTTGATTTAATAAAAGGTGACACCGTCAGGTTTTTAATGACCAAAGTTTTTGAGCAGGTAGTCTTTTATGCAGCAAGTCTTTGTAAAAAGTTTTCAGAATATAAAAAAACTGTCCATAAGACACACTTTGTTCTGTACCTCACGTATCTACAAATACTTCTGCATTACGCAATGAAACATACTTGAAATATTACATGTTTTTACTCACTGTATCTAATTGTTAATGGACAATATTGTATTGCAACAATGCACCAAGAAAGAAGGACCGACTCATAGCAAAGCAAATGTGCAAATCTGTAAATGCAGCATTTCAGGAAACAATAAATTCAGCCTTTGAGAAATGAGGTTGTCGTTTGTGATTTATTTGATTTGATTTGATCAGTTAGGATTTGAAAGAAAACTCTAAAAGTCCTGGAATGAGACAATACAAATTCTGTCATAGTTTTACATGCGTTCCCCATTAATAAAAATTAATCTGTTCAGCTGGCTGATGGAGACGTGAATGTGGCTCCACAGCTGCAGTAGGACAATGAGACTCCTGCCGCTGTGAGGAAATGTAAGTGATTCATCGACCAAATGTTTCTCTGCTGTAAACGAGAGCCCATGACTCATAATCAGCACCTTAAACTGCCACAATCAAGTCTGTCCAAAGGTTAAAAAACAACTAATATGTCTGCAGGGTCCAGAACTGAGCTGAGATCTGACGTCTGAACCACACAGTTATTGTAATAAGAGCTTTGCTTCTGTAAAACCTGAATTTCAGCGTCTGTTTACCAGAAACAGGCCCAACGGAGACAAAAATCCTTTGGCAAGTATGTTTATTGGTGTGTCAGATATTATGACGTAAACTATTTACAGTAAATACCTCCAGGGTCCAGCCATTTCATCAGGTTTTAAATTTTGATTTGATTTCAGCTCTGCCTGAACCTTGCAAGTTGCAATTAAAGCCGTAGATTTATAGCCTATATTCTCACTGTCATGGGAGAAAGTACAACTTTTATAAACATCTGTCACAGTGATAAATGCAGCTGTGGTTTGGGGATCTAATGTCAGTTTAGCAGCAAAGCAAAGATAAGTGTCATTAAAATAGGAAAATGACATCGAAACCCATAGCTGCTTAGAAGTAACAGGAGAGCAAACACAGACAGTCATTACTTCCTATTTATTTTTTTTTACATTTTTTATATTTTGTTAAATATTGAGATATAGCTTTGTTAGCGTATCTGACTGAAAACCTGATGGGGACAATCTTTTTTTTTTTTGCACATTTAGAACAAATTTAATTTTCATGAAATCGAAACATGAGATCTGTTTGTTTTTTGTTTTGTTTTTGTTTTGTTTTTTAGTTTTCAGAAAGAGGAGGGGGAGAACCAAAGACCAAGCAGCTGCTGTGTTTGTCACAAAGAATCACAGAGATTTCAGAGTTTGCTGTTGTTCATTGAAGGCTCAAGAAGAGAGATGGGAGCATCAAGGGACGATTCGCTTCACTATGATCTCACTTTTTTTCTCCCTACAGAGGCTTACTTTACCAAAAGCTCCTTGGTGTGTAGTGCATCTTCAAATGTTCCTCTGTAGGCAGGAGAAGGCTAAAGCTTCAGACTCGGCTTGTGTCAGCTTTAGAGTTTGATCAGAAGGCTAGCTGCTGGTGGCAGAACATACACTATTTGTTTTTGGATTATCTCTCACAGAGGAAGCCCCATTTCACTCAACAGAATTAAAGGGTTAGCATTGCTTGAAGGAATTCACAGTATATCGCTCACCACCTTTTAAGCCACAGTTTTACCTCCATGTAAAGCCTTGATTACAGCATTTTACACAATCTCATGTGTCGTTGGGTTGATTTCTTATGATTTGTTAGAGCTCGATACGTGTTGGAAAGCAGTCTCAGCTACTAACACCAAATTTTAGCTCAATGGGCCTCATGCAAGAACCATTCGTACGCACAGATTTGTTCTTAAATTGTGCGTACGAGTGATTTAGGAGAATTTGTGGCATTCACCAATGT